TCTTGCTGTGGGCCATGAGGAGGTGCCATGTGGTTTTGTATTAGGAACTGGAGATCCTGGCGACACAGCTGGTGGTTTTGGGAACCGAGGGAGGCCTGCTAGCCAAGCATAGATTACTGGGAAGAGTCAGGGGCTAGCTGAGTCACGGACTTCTATTTCTTTTCCTGAGATTTGGTACCCCAGACTGGGCAAAGGGGGGGAAAGAAGGACTGTGGGTGTTTGTGGGTGTTTTAAGGGACTTTGGGATTTTAATGAAGACATTAAGTCATTACTCTTAAGTCTGTATAACCTGGATAAATAATTCCTTTCCTTTTCATCAATCTCTAACATGGAGAGCTGTAATTCCCTGGTGGTGGGCAGAGTGATCCTAGTACAGGGGGACCTGGGGAGAAGGGGGGTCCATTCGGTAACATTGTGTGACCCCTTCTCTGGTGGCCAATCAAGGAAAATCATGGGAGACCACATACGCAGTAGCTTTAAAGTAATATAACTACTTGCACATGTGCAATAAAACCCTGCAAAACTAGCCAGGAAGGATCTGCTCTACAAGAATAGAATCCCTCCAGCCCACGAGGTCAATCTCGGTTCAGAGTTGGCCTGCTCCCATATTCTGTGGAGTGTACCATTGATTAATAAATCTGTTCTCTCTGTGCTATAAACTCTGTGTATTCAGTTCAATTCTTTGTCCATGATCACTGAGAACCTGGTTACCTGTGCCCACCTGTGACACTTGGGCTAGAGTTTCTACCCTATGAGTAGGGGGACGAAAGGTAGAAAGTAGCCCCAAATCTCTCAGCTTCTCTTGCTTGTAATATAGCTTCTGCAAAACAATGCTGGGGAGATGAAAAATGTTGGTAGTCAGTCCCTTCCAGGAAGATACTGGGAGATCTGGGGAAGGGTGCCTCATGTTCTATGCTGCACCAGCCAGAACAGAGCCTCCATCATGCTGAGGTAGGGTTGGTGGGTGAATTATGGTTCCAATGCAACAGACTCTTTCTATTCCTATGGACACTTGTGATTAGTAGCTTTTCCTGAATAAATATTTTTCTGTATATTGTTTTAATTTCCTGGATACAATGTGCAGTCTCAGGACAATGTCCAGAGACTTTAATTTTTTTTAAATTATTTATACCGGTTATGATTATTTTGCTAAGGGGGGTCTCCATGAATCTAATCACACTGCCATTCTGGAATTTTCAGCCTCTCATTCCAGTTATTAGCACATAGAATAGAGAGAAGATAACTAAAAGTTCAGCTTTTCTTTAAAATGCACTGACTTTTTCATTGAGAAATTAAGTGGTCATCTTGTCCTTAGCCTAACCCTGCCACAAGTGTAATTAGTCAATATGTTTCTCCATCATAAAACAAGCATGTATTTTGAGAATATTAGTAATAAAAAACAGGAATGCCCTGTCTTTTCTTAAGTCAAAATATTATGTGCTTAGAAGTATTATCCAAATTTAGTGAAAACTAAGGCTCAATCTGTTCTAAATTTCTATCTCTTTATGAAAACTTTATTAGTGTTGGTTTTCACAATGTCTAACATTGGGGTATAACATATATATTGAGAATACCATAATTATGGGAAGTACTACTACTTTTCAACAATGAAAATAATGAACAAACTATTTAAATACCCACCATCTTAGGGCATGTTACCCAGCCCAGACTTTGGAGATGCAGTTATGCAGACCTGAATCAGGAATGGGAAAAGGCCAAAGAAGGGCCAGATCTCAAATCTGACATTCTGACAGCCTGATACTGTGGGGAGCTCTAGAGCATAACTCCTACTACAGGTTGTCCCATTCTTTGACAGCTGGCAGTGCATATTTCCTATGAGATTTTTTTATTGTGTTTCATGTTCACAACAAACTTAATATCAAAGATGTCTGCCTTTGTTTGAAACTCAGTATCAGTGGAAGTAGTTGACATAATATCAGAACTTAAAAATCATCAACATTTATAACTATGGAAAAATAATTTCTCTTTGCAGCTCATTCTAGTCAGAATCATGATGTCTATTGCTGTTTATCTGCTAAGTCACTGATTCCAAAGGCAGATTTTTCAAACCTGTTATGGAATTACTTTTAGGGTGATTGTGTCCATATAGCAATAAGATTATTTATTGTATCAAGAACATGCCATTTAGAAAGAATCTCAATAAATGATAAATTACTCAATTTAAAAATGACCAAAATATTTGAGCACACTCTTCATAAAGGATATATGGATGATCAAAAATCACATAAAAAGACACTCTACATCAGGGGTCAACAATGCATGGACCAAGAACCAAACTCAGCCTGACACTTATATTTGTAAGTACATTTTTACTGGAACACAGCAAAGCTCACCTATTTATGTATCGTCACTGGCTTCTTTCATGCTACAGTGGCAGCGTTGAGTAGTTACAACCAACTGAATGGCCTTCAAAGCCAAAAATGTTTACAATTTGACCCTTTTATGGAAAAGTTTGCCAACCTCTGTTCTACATCATTAGTCATCATGAAGTGCAGGTTAGTGGAGAGATGTAGAACAATTGTCTAATTTAGGATCTGTTTAAGGCCATGTTGATCTGATGTTGGTATTATAAGAGGAAGGACAACTCAGTGCAGTGACTCATCCTGAGGGCCAATTTCTGCCTTTGGCAGGGACCTAGGGCAGGTGAAATGCTACTAAGAATATTTCAGGAGATTTGTTTTCTGTTGATATGTCCAGGTCCCAACCAAGGCCTCCAGATCTGCCTGAGACATGCCTCAGTTAACAGCAGCAAAGGTTTCATAAGGACCTCAACAAAATTTCTTCCCATCTGAAGAAACCATTGGCTAAATAAGACTCAGCCACTTATTTCAGTGCTATGATTCACACAATGGTTACTGAACACACTTTTAAGACACTGTAGGAAATTGTTCATTGTAGCCCTGGCTAGGTTGTTCAGTTGGTTGGAGTACTGTCCTGTACAGCAAAAGGTGACAGGTTTGATTTCCAGTCAGGGCACATACCTAGGCTGTGGATTTGATCCCTGGTTGGGGTGTGTATAGGAGGAAACCAATCAACTTTTCTCTCTTACCTGATGTTTCTCTCTCTCTCTCCCTCCCTCTTTCTATCTCTCTCAAAATCAATAAAACGTATCCTCAGGTGAGGATAAAAAAATTGTTCAGTGTAACTTCTCTAAATGGCCACAGTGAGGCAATGCTGCTTCAGAGAAGATTAAAGTTTGCACATACCCATCAAGTAGATAGAAATTATACTTTAAAAATCTAGTAAATTATTACCTAATCCTTTCCTTCAATTTATATCTATCAATCATGTGTGTGTATATATATATATCCACTCATCTACCTAAATAATATCTGTATTTTTCTATCTAATAGGTTTGAAACACATGACTTTGGAGACCAAGAATTCCTTGAATAATATGGTCAGAGCCACATTAGCTTCTCTAATACAAAATTTTAATGTTTTTACCCATGCACAGTCTAATCTCCAGCCACTCTAAGTTAATCTGTGCCCAGAATTTTGTTATCCCACTCTTTTTACCTGGAAATCAATTGATGGCATGGTGCAAGTCCCAGTTCAAGCATGTCCTGCATCAGAACCCTTCTTTGATGGCCCCAAACCACAGTTCATTACACTTTTTCATCACATCATATAGACACACAGTTCTCTTTGGTGGGTTTTATCTGACTGTACTTGAGTATTAGGACTAGGTTGAAGGAAGATTAGGACTGTGCCTGTAGCATAAATAAGACCCAGGTTCTACACGTTTAATAGGCACTTATTAGACACTTGGTGAATATATATGAATATATGCATTGATGAGTGAATAAATAAAAAAGAAAAAATACATAAAAATTCAACAAACATTAAAAAAATTCCTGACAGCACTGAGGTTGAATGAACTACATTGTAGATTTAGGAATGAGGACTCTTACCATTGTCTCCTGTTGGACTGTGATGGCATTTTTCTTTTACTGAATTTGAGATGGTATTAGATACAAATAACAAAAATCCTTCTGTGCTTCAAAAATGTGCTCCTTACTTCTTTTAACTTCTAATATTTATAATGCAGGTGAATCCTACTTTTACGGCTGTTTTGGAATTTATCTTCAACTTATGTCTGTATACCCTGCTGTGCTAACATGAAAAACCAAACTGATCTTTCATGTTTTGATATTTTATCCATGAGAACAAAATGTGAAGAAAATGTCCATTGTTTGTTCAAACTCACAATGAGAGCTACCAAAAATGCTGCATTACTGGAAAGTCATAGCCCACATCTTCTGATATTTGCACAATTTTTCTACCTTCTCTTATCTATTTGGAAATCAAAGCTCCTCTAAACAGATCATTCTGGTATTTGCCAATTTTTCCCCAAGTATAGTCTTAGAAATATTTAATTTATCTTTTTATAGTTTAGAAGAAATATAAATAAATTAAAATTAATTTAATTATCTTCTATCATTTATTAGGGTTATGTAAAATATAAACAAATATGAAAGATTATAATAAAATTTTAAGTTCCCTTAGGGCAAAGGAACCATATATTTTCTGTATTTTGATTTGTGACCTTAGCTCGTAATATTATTTCTCCTGTGTGTTCTCAATAGACCAGTTCATATTTGTAATAAAAAAGAAATGCTTCTATATATGCTAATCTTGTGGCTTCCTGAGATCCCTTTCTTCCCTACTGTAAAATAATGTAATCTGAATCAACATATGAAGTTGTTCTAGTACACAATTTTTGCATTCTAGAGTTGTAAGGAAAAGGAAAAGAGGGATTGAGAGACATAAATTCTAAACTGATTCTTATCTATGTATAGATAGGGGATTTTTCATTCCTGTTGAAAGTATCTTCAGCAACTCTAAGTTAGGACAAAATGAGGAAGTGCTTTCTTTGATAGAAATAGCTTTAAGTGAAAGTACTAGTGAAAGGGTGTGGCCTCTTGAAAGAAATAAAGCAGGTGTGAATTTAAAGTCATACTTCCAGCTGACTGAGGAGACTGCAAGAGCGTTTGAGTTGTCACTACCCTTTGGTGCCAAGAAATGGACAAGATCCTGGGAGCATTTTTAATTCTATGGCTTCAACTAGGCTGTGAGTTGTGGAGGAGAAACTGTGGGATATATTATTAATTTGGGCAAATGAGAAAATGGGGGCATGGACAAACTCATCAGGTAGAAGATTTAAAAAGAAACTATTATTTGGGAGAGCCTAATGACTTTTTGTTATCTTTTTAAGCAGGGGTGAATGGCCAACAGAAGGGGAAAAGTGACCAGCAGCAGGTGAAACAGAGCCCTGACTCTTTGGTATTACAAGAAAAAGAGATTTCAATTCTGAACTGTACTTATGAGAACAGTGCATTTGATTACTTCCCATGGTATCGGCAGTATCCTGGTAAAGGCCCTGAATTACTGATAGCCGTACGTTCAGTTGATAGTAGAAAAGAAGATGGAAGATTTACAGTTTTTCTCAGTAGAAGTAGCAAACACTTCTCACTGCACATCAACGCTTCCCAACCTGGAGACTCAGCCACCTACTTCTGTGCAGCAAGTGCACAGTGCTCTCCAGGCACCTGCAGCCTGTACCTTAACCTGCAGTGGGGGCTCCAGCCAAACTTTGCTATGTACATGAAATATTCACACATAAGCAAAAAAAATCTGTTTGGCCATAAAAGAGTCTTAATACATTTAAAAGGACTGAAATTATGCAGAATTTGTTCTCTCAGCAAAATGGAATTGATTTAGAAAGTCAATTTAGAAAACCAGTTGCAGAAAGATGTCTAAAAACAGCCAGACATTTGGAATTTAACACTAAACTTTAAAATAATCTATAGGTCAAAGCAGCAATTATAATGGCTATTAGAAAATATTTTTGAAGAAAATATGATAAAACACATACATATAGATATGTATGAAGTGCCACTAAAATAGTGTATAGAAAAAATTTATCATTTTAAACACCTATATTATTAAAGAAGAAAAGTTGGAAAACAATGATCAAAGTCTTTAAGAAAAGAGAATAGAAAAATATAAACAAATTAAACCCAATGTAAGCAAAAAGAAGGAAATAATAAAAAAGTCCAATTGCTGAAATACAAAGCAACAATAGAGATAATAAATTAAAAAGTTAGTTTTCTTAAAACTATTAATAAAATTGATATATACCTGGCTGAATTATCGAAGGAAAAGAGAGAGAAAACATAAATTATAAATAAAGGAATGGCCCTAGCCAGTGTAGCTTGGCTACTTGGAGTGGTTTCCTATGCACAAAAGGTTGTGGGTTCAGTCCCTAGGTCATCAGTCTCTCTCTGAAGGCAACGAAAAAATAAAAATGTCCTTTGGTGAGGATAAAAATAAATAAAAGATCAGCAATGAAAAAACCCATACTACAGATTCTCTAACATTTAAAATAAAATAAGTGTATATCATTAACAATTTTATGCCACTGAGTAAGAGTATAGAAATAGACTCACATGAACGGGGAAACCTGATTTTTTTTTACAAAGGTGAGAAGGCAATTCAAGAGGCAAGATAGTCTAATTAACAGATGGTGTGTGACAACAGGTATTCATAGGCAAATAATTGAACCTTGCTCTAAGCTCACAACTTACACAAAAAATTTGAGGACAGTCTCAAAATGGGTCATTCATCCAAGTGTAAAATATAAACCTATAAATATTTTAGAGAAAACTATAAGAGAATTAGGTGAAGAGATTTTTGACATGACACCAAGAAGTATAATCCATTAAAAAAACCTTAAAGTTCAGCAAAACTTTTAAAACTGCTAAGAGAAGCAGTTTATTTAAAAAAGAAAAACCACACAAATTGTCAGGAAATATTTGCAAAATAAATTTCCATCAAAAGATCAGTATTCAGAATATAAAGAACTGTCTCAACTCAACAGAAAGAAAACAAACAATGCAATTTAAAATGGACAAAAGACTCACAGAGACCTTCACCCAAAGAGGGTATGAGATAGGGAAATAAGCATATAAATAAGCACATGAATGGATGTCTACCATTGTTAACCAGGAGGGAAATGTAAATTAAAGCCACAGCGAGATACCACTCCACATCAATCAGAATGGCTACGATAAAAATTATTGATTATACCAAGTTCTGTCAAGGATGCAGAGAAATAGAATCACTTGTACATTGCTGGTTAATGAATGGTACAGTCACTCTGGAACACAGTTCTTCAGTTTTACATAAAGTTAGAATTTCACTTATAACTCAGCAATCACACTCCTGGGTTCCTATGCTAGAGCAGTGATTTTCAATCTGTGTGTTACCAGAAATTTTAAAACATGGAATAACTGACTATTTAGTCAGAGGCTCTGATCTCTTTTCCCTTAGGTTGTCCAATAAAAATAAAATTATAACAGTCAAGACAATAATAGCTATCCAGTGTGAATGAATCAAAATTATACCTATTTTTGTCACATCAGCAAAAATATATTTCATGGGGTGCTGCAGAAGTTTATTGATCAGTTTGTGTGTGCTTGAGATGAAAAATATAAAAAATAACTGTGCCAGAGAAATGAAAAACTTATGTCCACATAAAAATCTGTACATGAATTTTCCTGGCAGCTATACTTGGGGTGACCAGAAAACAGGAAACCACCCAAATACTCTTCACTGGGTGAATGTGTAGATATACTGTGGTACATTCATACAATGGGATACTATTTAGTAATAAAACTGAATGGAATATTGTTATGTGCAATGACCTGGATGGATCTCAAGGGCATTATGCTGACTAAAAAAAAAAAGGAAACCCATTTTAGAAGACTACATAGTGGATGATTTCACTTATTAGATTATTATGATTTCATACATAATGCATGACCTCAATATTCTCTAAAGAACAAAACTGAAGGAATGGAAAAGAGACCAGTGGTTGCTACAGGTTATCAGGGGCTGCAGGAAGGAGGAATGTGAACGAAGGGGGTTCTTTAGAGTAATGAAACAGTTTTGTATCTTGATTGTGGTGGTAATGACACCAACCTATCCATGTGATAAAATTTCATAACGGTATGCATGGAAAAAAGGAATTGTAAAAACTGGTGAGTCAGAGACAGATCATATATACTCTGTTGTTTAATAGCATTGTATCAACATCCTGGTTTTGATCATTCTACTGTGATCATTGGGTCTAGATGTCATCAGTGAGAACTCTGCAATGTTTTTGCAACTTCTATGTGAGTCAAAAATCATTTCAAAATATAAAGTAAACATGTGGGAAACCCAATTCAGAAACAATATTGACTGGAGTGTAAACGAGCAACCACTTTAGTAGTCTCTCATAGAATTGAACATACATCTACCACAACCCAACGACTCTACTTCTAAGCATTTACTGAAGGGAAATGCAAACATGTTCACAAAAAGACTTGTAGAAAATGGTCTTAGCAGCTCTATCCATAACAGCAATTAACTACAGAAAATGTCCACAAATGACAGATTAAATAACAGATTGTCCAAAATGACAGATTGCATTATACATCTACAATGGAGTGTCAGTCAGCTGTAAAAGGCACAGAACTACTGATACCCACAACAACATACATAAATCTCAATAACATAATGCTTAGCAAGATTTGACATAGAAGACATACTGTATGATTTTAGAATTTTATGAAATTCTAAAATAGGCAAATTGTCCATAATGAAATAATTTAGAGCAATGGTTACCTCTGTGAGCTGGGAATTTTGGTGGATGGGCACAAGGGGTCTTGGTGGAGTAAAGGAAATATTCTATAGGTTGCTAGGGGTATGGTTTATCAATCTGCAATTTTCTAACTCTATACTTTTGACCCATTTATTACACTATATAATTATACTTTAATAAAAAATTTAAGTTCAAATATTACACAGGAACAAAAACAAAGCAATAAATGATGGTATCCGATGTTGACTATTTTTAACGAGCTGAAAAATAGACTGCTATTTGATAATATTATCAAATATAAGGAAAGAAGATGTTTGTTACTTGTAGGGAAACCCAGGAGGGGTTAGTGCATTTCATCTTAGAATCAGGTTGGAGGCAAGAGAATAATAAAAACATGAAGAGATGCTATCACAGCCATGCTTGGCAATAAATTTATTTCAGATAAGCACTTCAGATCTTATCAAATATTAATTGACTAAACTTAGAAATTTTAAGTAACACATTTCTTTCCAACACTTCCTTCAACATTAAGCTTTACGCTTGTCTTTTGTCAGATTTAATCACATCATTACATCACAAGTAAATGTAAAACAATGTTTAAGACAAACCAAATCTCCCAATCTGAATGTTACAACACATTCAAACCACGCAGCCAGAATCCACATATCAAAGGCTGCTGCTCTATATGGCTGAGGGAACTTGTACCTGTATTGTCAGGAACACGGAGAAGGGCCATTTCAACAAGAGGAAAATCTTATGTCATGCTGCTCCCCAGATGCTGTGGGTATTCATGATCTCCTCCACTTAGTTACAAATAATTGCAAACCATGGCAGCAAATACCTATAAGTATCAAAAGGTGAAATGGGATAAAGAAGAGGACATCTCAACTAATTTTAAATTCTGTTCCCTGTGCCACTTTTTGGTGTTATTTTGCCCTTAGTATCAAAGAAGTGGTACTGTTTTAGAGGCCATGTCGGTACATTCCTTTCCAGTTGTCTATTTGCCTTTGGATCCTTTTAGATTAATTTGTCCATTAAAACAATGAAATCAAATGGAAGATCTAACAGCTACATTCCACATTATGATGCAATAACTCATAAGACTTCAGCCATTAACTTCCATGGTGTTGGTATGTACTAAGTGCTTGCAATCTATAGCTATCACATTCTATAGTGGGAGTAGATTATTGCATTGTGTCACAGATATATCTGGCATGCTGACCTTGACTTTATTTTACAAATAAAATAAAATGCCCACCCATGGAATTTAACAAGTGAGACTGAATACTTTGGATCAATGGGATAAAAAAATGTGACATCAAGAGAATTCTAGGACACATGAACTAGTAAGTACAATTCTACTTGTGGAGACTATAGACTGAGTCCAAGAAGGAGTAAGAAGGAATTTCGGATAGGATTGCCTTTCATTGAGCAATCCAAGGATCTGTGAGGGGTTTTTTTCCATTGGATTCTGGTTGGAGAAAAGTAAATACAGGCTAAATGAATGACCTATAATAGTAGATTACCAGGAAGTCTCACAGTCCATAATAGATTCTATTTTACATGGCCCCCAAAATTATTCTTGTGAAAACTACCAATGTATGTCAACTGGTTCAATCTTCAGTTCCACTCAGCTGCAGCATTTAATACTAATTGCTTTTCCTATGCCCTCTTTTGGGTACTGCTTAACTTAATTACCAGCAAAAGACAAGTAGATAAAATAAAGGTTTAGAGTGAGCTGGAGTCTTTTCTCATCTGTGCATAGATCATGTGGTTGATCAACATAAGAAACTCTATTTCCTGTTTGGGGAAGTAGCATCAGAACCCAGGGACAATGTGTATCTGTGCTGCAGCTTGAGGCAGAATGAGCCACCTTTGTGCAGGGGATCACAGGCCAGATGCCACTCTCCAGGCTACTGTGGATATTCGTGGCCTTCGTCTTCTCTGGTAGGGACCGTTCCAAACATGGGTAAGAATGTTAAGGATGAAAGGATGGCACACAGGCCTGTGCTACTTAATGTGGACTTGAGGAGGAAAGAAGGAGTAGAGAAAAACAAGCAGATTATGATTTCGATTTAATTTGCCTTTCAGTCCTAAATTAATCTAAATCTTACAATGTTTTGGTCACTACATCAGCTCTGTTTTCTGATTTTCTTTTCCATAGGATCCAGCGTGGCCCAGAAAGTTGCCCAAAACCAGCCAATTATATTCATGCAAGAGGGGACAAAAGTCACCCTGAGCTGTCAGTATGAAACAGCACAGCTCTTATACTATATTTTTTGGTATAAGCAGCCTACAAATAGAGAAATGATTTTCCTTATTCGTCAAAGTTCTTCTGCTGAGAACACAAGCAGTGGCCGTTATTCTGTAAACTTACAGAAAGCAACTAAAACCATCATCTTCAGCATTTCGCCCTTACAGCCAGAAGATTCAGCAAAATATTTCTGTGCTCTCTGGGAAAACACAGTGCTTAAAATAATAGTAAAAGCTCAACAAAAACTCCAGATCTTGGTAACAGAGTCCCCCACAACTGCAGAAGCCAAGCTGAAATGCACACCTGCAGACTCCAAACTCGAAATGGCAGTTCGAAATGGCAATGACAGCGGTTGCTTAATCTGTGGTCTGGATCATACGATTTAATTCCAGGTAAAACCTCCTTCTGTAACATTTGAAAACAGATGTCCAGTGTAACTTTCTTCTAGTACAGTCTCAGTCTCAAAAACACACTCAATCACAAGTCTGGGTCTTGTTACCTGGAATCATCATGAAAGTCATTTCCTTAGCCCTTTCCTCTTAGGGGTTGGGGCAGTTAGAGCACAATCTAAGAAGCAGAATCACTACGGGTGATACAGAATAAGGAATTACTTATAAGGATTAGAACTCATGCAATTGCTGGAGCTGGTGGAGGAGTCTGTACAAAGCTGTTGTCTTTGCATCTGTAGTGAGTCCGAATTTACTGTAAGTCAGCTAGGGTAATGTGTGAAGGAAAGCTGAATGTGGACAAAACCATGGACCCACTGTGATTTGTAAGGATATATAGAACTCATGAGAACAATTGGGACCCACAGAGACAAAGTAAAACTTGTCTGTCTCTCGCCTCCTTCAATCTCATAACAGTGGGTGATCTTCAGGAAAAGGGGTGTCATGTGCCATCATGCTGCATGCCTACTTGGACCAAGACAAACAGAAGTGAGGGGGGAGATCTGGCAGAGTACGGGGTGTTCTGAGGCAACAATAAGATGACCATCAGATCAGTAGCAACATGTATGAGTTGCCACAGTGCCTGCAGCCCTGAACCAACCTGCAGAACAAAAAATATCCCTGCTGCATCACTACTACCTTCAAAATCTTCCATAAGTTTCTTTCACAGCCAACCCTGAGCTAGAACAATACAGGGAAGCAAATTCTGAAAAAATACATTTTCAGATGGTTAGGTTGATTCAATACAAGCTACCACAGCGTCCTGTGAAAACTAAGCTAACCCTCTGCTGCAGAGAGCACACGAAGTTCATTTATCCACCTCTGGGTGATGTACTTTCCTCTTCTGGCTGGGTTACACTCTCCTGACAGCCTGTAGTTTAACTGCTGGGATACAAAGAGATTCTGTATAGATTTGTTTTTTAAATACTGTTTCTTCTTTAATTTAATTTTTTACTTTTAGACAGAGTGAAAGGGAGGGAGAGAAATGTCATTGTATGGTTGCTTCTTGCATGCTCTCTACTGGGGACCTGACCCAGGCATGTACCCTGACCAGAAATTGGACCCAGGACCCTTTGTTTCACAGGCCAGCACTCAATCCACTGAGCCACACCAGCCAGGGCTGTATAAGATTAATTTTTATTAGCACACCTTATGCTACTACATGTAGGTAAACAGGAGAGGGAAGTAAAAATGGATAATAAATTCATAAATATATTTATATCAAAATGAAAAAGAAGTTTTCTTATCTATTCTAGTGCTAGTTTCTGCAAATGATTTCAAGATTGTAGCTGGTATTTATAACAACTTCTTCCATCACCCAAAATCTCTTTGCTCATAGCAATCATCTCCACTCACTGCTATACTTGACTTTCTATAAAACAAGATTCTTACTCAGGGGCAATGCTATGTGGAATACTATAAGTTGAATAAGAAATTCTGCAAGTTCATCACTGTAATTTTGATAGAAGCATTGCAAGCCTCAAAGTCAAATTCATATTCAGAGTGTCTGTTCAATTGGAATAAAAAATCTTGTCAATTCCCAGAGAAAATGGATTCGTGTGTTCTGTGAAACATCATTAAGAATTATGCCTGACTTCTTAGAAGCAATAGATATGATTCCTTAAGTACTCTGAGCATGTTGCCATAACAACACTTTTACCCCTTGCCTTTGACCTCTCCACCTGTAATGCTATTCACCCAAATATTGACATGGTGTACCTCTAAACTTTCTTGACATCTTTACTCAAATGTCTCCCCTTTGTGAAGCCTTTATCTAATCTCTATTTTCTTTTTTTGAGAATCAGACTCTAGCATACTCCAAATTATCAAGAAAAAAGTTCTTTCCTGAAGCACTGCCACCTGGTGTTCTGCTAAAATATTTTGTGGTGTTTACACTGGCTTCCCTGCTGCCCTCCAGTGCTCACTGGTTGGTAACTGTGGCAAACGATAGGTGCATTATGAGCTACCATCACTGAACCAAAGTCAGTAACCTTCCCATTGCAGTGATCAATCACACAAGAGAAGATTCAGGAGGACTGGTTCATTGTTTATTTTTGCCCTCCCAGATGTGAAAGTGATTGACTTGAAAATGATGAATATAATACATGGGATGATTTAAACTGTAGAGTTATGAGATGTCTTGGAAACAAAGGTTTGCATTTTGCATGAACTGGGCATTTTTTTGCTATTAAGTGAAATTGTGTTTATTCTGTACTTCATTGTAATATAGGAATATCCTGAGAAGTGGGAGCAAGAGCCAATGATGAGAAATAATAAATCATTGTAGGGAACACTGCTTGTTAGAATATATGATCCAATCTTTCAATATCACATTCTAATGCACTGATTTCCCAGTAAGAAACATGATAGGCCATAGATACTTAGGATAATATGAAATATGCTACATAAATGACAAAACATGCCTCAGAAATATGTTGAGCTTTCTGTTGTGATAGACTCCACTGCAATTTCATTTCAGATGTGTATTTCAACCCTCCAGTATTTTATACACTGCATGTGTTTGACTGAGTGCCTGAGATAGGGAAGTTGTTGTTCAGGGTGATTTGTGTGTGTGTTCTCATTTAATTTTCAGTGGAATTCTTCAAGGTTGATTTCACCTCTTTACAGAGGCAGTTTAGCAAAGTGGTTGAGACCAGAGGACTTAGGTTGGATTTCTTGATCTACCACTCATTACTTAAGTGACCTTGGGTAAATTACTTAATGATTTTTATGCCTCAGTTTCTTCATCCCTACAGAGTGGGTACTGATAGTTCTACCACCTAGGGTTATTATAAAAAGTACATGAGATGGTAATGCCAGTGCTTAGCCCACTGCCCAACAGAAAGACACTGGCCGCTTATAGAAAAGAAAACTGAATATAAGAGAGTTAAATACCTTGCCTGGTGTCTCAGAGCAAGTGCTCAGGCAGGGCCGTCCCTCCAAACCCTATTTGGAACAGATACCTTTTCTCACCACAAGAGGAACTATTTGAGTGTAGTGTTGTACTATTTTCATAATGCTTGTCACTATTTTAAAATATTTTATTTTTAAAAAATCCACTGATTTAATTTTTTCTCCTCCCATTGCCTAATCTAGTCTCTTTTAAAAAATATTTTATTTATTTATTTATTTTTAGAGAGAGGGGAAGGGAAGGAGAAAAAGAGGGAGAGAAATATCAATATGTGGTTACCTCTTCTGTGCCTGGCCTGCAACCCAGGCACATGCTCTGACTGGGAACTGAACCAGGGACCCTTTGATTCACAGGTGCCAATGAGTCCACTGAGGTTCACTCAGTCCACTGAGTCACACCAGCCAGGGCTCTATTCTCTTTACTAAGAGAATAGAAGAAGACAACTTCTCTGTCTGAAAAATACCTAGCACACAGAGGGCACAATAGATATGTATTTGTTGAATGAATATGCAAAAGATAAAATTATTTTGAGTTCTTGCAATTCAACACTAATATAAAAGATTAAACTGGATTAATCATTGTGTTATTTATTTAGAATTGTCGAGATTTCTACCCTGCAAGTCACTTAAGGTAAGATTTAATTTATGCAATATGCTTAGAGGTCAACTGGTCTCTATTTCAAGTAAATTGAGCAGCTATAACTTGCAGGACTCTGCCCTATGAGTTGGAGGAATTCTCCTTCTGTTAGAGATATACCCTTTTCATTCTGGACACTTCTCCAATATGTGGGTAAATTTTTCAGTGGATCAGCATTTTCATTCGAGACAATCTTCACAGTAAGTGGGCTTTCTGAATGTGCAGTCATGCCCCTACTCTTCTGAGATGATCCGTCACTGAATCATCTGAATGCTGTGATCTGGAAAAACAGTAACTTGACTTGGAATAGCTTCTGTTTGTCTAGCAGCCCATCCCTAAGTCTAGCCCCTACACTTCTAGATTAGGAGATATTAATAAGGTGCTTTAAGATTTTCTTTCTTAACCATAATTTCATCTCTTGTCTTAGGAAGGAAATCTAGAAGTTAGCCACTGAGACACTTTCCAATCCTGTTACATTTTTCAGAACAGGATTTAAGTTTTGTTTTGTGTCAGGCATTGTTTCCTGGTATTAGCATCTACCTCATGCTGTTTCCTATGTTTACTTCAGTCGTTCCCAGGGAAGAAGGTGCTAACGTTATTACATAACAAAAAGAGTTGGCTATGCACTCTGTGCTAGCAGAGCCAAACACTAACCACAAAGAACTGGAATGGAGAAAAATTGGTTATTGTATAAGTGGTGCCTCAGGAGAATAGAAAGCTAATACTCAAAAGCCCGAATTATCTGGTCCAGGGTTCTGGGAGGGTTTTTGAAGATATAATGGAACAGGTATGAGGAAGCACTAGTGGGGCAAGTTTTAATTTGCCATTTATGGTAAAGGGGTGTCAACACAGGATCTTCCCGGGCAACAGAACCCTCTGCTTCTGAGATGGGTCTAGTGTTCAAGTTCTGATTATGTCTCAGTCCTTTGATTGGGGGGTAGGAAGTGAGACTTTGGTTCTGGGTGCCGCTGGAGGTCAAATTTCTGTCTTCTGTGCATATCTTGGTTATATGACTGGCAGTTTTGGTTTGTTGTCTCTGAAAATCAACTCATATCTTGTTAAAAGGGATAGGACAATTTTGAGCTGGTTCTATGGTTACAGAGTCAATTAATGCTATCAATTTCTCAGAAGTTAGATTTATATGCTGAACAATCTTTTATTTATTTATTTGCTTGCTTATTTATGTATTTATGTATTTATTTTTAAAGAGAGGGGAGGGAAGGGAGAAAGAGAGGGAAAGAAACATCAATGTGTGATTGCCTCTCATGTGCCCCCAACTGGGAACCTGGCCTGCAACCCAGGCATGTGCCCTAACTGGGAATTGAACTGGTGACCCTTTGGTTCACAGGCCAGCACTCAATCCACTGAGCCACACCAGCCAGGGCCTGAACAA